GGAGTGCCATTCCCATGCGACACCTACTTCTTTAGGCAGGTGCTACACATCTAAGTGTAGCACCTGCCTAAGACACTACATGCTACTGACACCTGCCAGTGGTTTTAATGTTGTGGCTGTTTGGTGTGTATACACCACAGGATTGATGATGAGAGTGAGAACTGGTGAGTGTGATGGATAGGAGACTATGACTGAATGACTGGGGACATCTGGTGGGTGGAAGGCGTGATGCATGAAAAACAAGAATGAGAACTGTGACCAGAAGAAGAAGAAGAAAAAGCAACAGTTGACCTTGTTTGGAGTTTGTGATATTCTGCCCACAGTTTTACAAACACATCTTTTATATTACTTTACAAACCATCATGGAGAAATACGTAGCAAAGGGGTAGGAAACTCATAACTCATAAACTCATAATAACAATATACACCATAATAAGTTACAAATGTATGTTCTCACTATTTAAAATATAACAATTCTTTGAGAACCAGTGATATTGCAGTTCGGCAAAAAATACACCATTCATGTTGCATATCCAAAACTGAAGCTTTTTTTTCCCTTTTTTAAATGTTTTATTTATTTATCTTTTTTTTTAAATTTTTTTTTTAAAAACCATATACCACCTTTAATAGACATCTGTTTGCTAAGGCTAGCCAATATGGCACATTCCCAGTCAGCGACAACAGTGTCACTCCAGTGGCTGGAGCCTATCCCAGCTGACTTAGGACGAAGGCAGGGGACACCCTGGACAGGTCACCAGTCTATCACAGGGCTACACTTAGAGACAGACAACCAAACACAATCACATTCACACCTACAGACAAATTAGAATCACCAATTAACCTCAACATGTTTTTGGACCTTGTGGGTGGAAGCCAGAGAACCCAGAGAGAACCCACGCTGCATGGGGAGAACATGCAAACTCCACGCAGAAAGATCCCGGTTGTCCTCACCGGGACACGAACCGGCGACCTTCTTGCTGCGAGGCAACGGTGCTTACCACTAAGTCACCTTGCAGCCAAGATACCAACATCAGCATTTATAAAAATCTGTTTCATCTGAGCAAAATATTTTGTGTCACTTGACTGCAGTGTATTCTAAACTTATGGTAACATAATCCTGATGGTAGTGAAGTATCGTTGCACTACATTGTGGCTGCTGTGGCTCAGGTGGTAGAGCGGCTGACCTTTAATTGCAAGGTTGGTGGTTTGATCTCCCGCCCCTCCACAGTCCAAGTGTCCTTGGGCAAGACACGCAGCTATGTCACCACTAGTGTATGAATGTGTGTGTGAATGGGTGAATGAGAAAACATTATAAATCGCTTTAAGGAACCACGAAGGTAGAAAGGTGCTATAAGTGCAGACCATTTACTATCCATTACTTGAGTTGGAATTACTTGTGCATAATTTAAAAATAAAAATAAAAATAAAAATAATGTGGAAAATGAAAAATATCATGTTTTTGGTTGAATTTATGATTAGCCCCCAGCACTACCCTGCACACTGTGACAGTGCTAACACGCTGATGTGTAGCAGGTACACCATTTGCCATGGTTACCATCTTAGTTCAGAATTTTATGCTGTTATGTCATGCTAAGTAGGACTAAACACAGTACAAATTCAGTAGAACTCTACACAAGTACAGCTGAGGGTGATGGAAGGAAAATTTGGGCAGTAACTTGTGCCTCTAAAAACTGCATTTGAATTATTTATATTTCTTCTTATTATACACACACACATACACACATATATATGAAAAGTTAGTTTGCAAAAACAGATAACTCCATCTTCAAACCTTCAGAAAACCCACTTTTCCATCTACCTGAGACAATATCAATCAAACTTAAGTTATCTCTGTTTTTGTCATGTCATTTCTACTGAGTCAAATCCACTCAACTTCAGTTTGATTGATATTATCTCAAGCAAACAACAAAAAAGGTTTTCTGAAAATCTAATATATATATATATATATATATATATATGTATGACCTCAGTCGCATACATGTATAGTAAACTCGTGAAAATTGTAATTCAAGTTTTCATTACAATAACTCAAGTCAAGTTGAACAACCAAAATTCAATTATAAAGGATTCAAAGGATTCATTCAGTTTCAAGTGGCACAAACATACAGAAACTACACTAGTTGGGCTCTGTAGACAGTTATAAGGACAGAGTGATACAGAAAGAAAAGGGAGGATAAGAATGGACCGGAGAAAATAGAAAAGGTCGAGCCATTGAGTACGGAGAGAAGCTGAAAAGACGATAGGTAGAAGGTTAACGTAGCGCTCCTCTGTTCTGCCGCAGCCTGCCCAATGGGGGGG